GTTTACTTTTCATTTAATCTGTCAGTAGAGTTTGACTTTTCTTTTCCGGATCTGATTCCACATCTACAAACTACTGTTCACAGGTGTGATTCCCGAAGCATCCTTCTGCTACATAGGGAGAAATAGGATATTATCTTGTTTCTTCACAGCCGATATAAAGAGCACAGCTACAAAGAAGGCCAAACACCCTTCAAAAACTGCTTTGCTATTCCCTTTGTTACTTATCTTGATATAAAATAATTTTTAAAATTGTGTTAATTCAAATGTGAAGCTTTAGGTCTGAAGCCAATGCACCTCTAAAGGGTAAAGATGACTTTCTCATTACCAGGGCAATAGGTCTGAGAAAGTAGCAACAAAATTCTAATAATTTTTCAATATAAATTTTTGACAGAATTTCTAAAAGAAAAATTTTGGAAACAGAAAAATCTAATGACATAACTGCAGGAATGAGTAACTGTCTCATGGTTTTAGAAACATATCATGATATATATTAGCATTTCATGTTGTATTATGTATGCATATATTTCTCAGTAAGCTGAAAGCTGTTTAAACAAATCAACTTTATTGAAGTATAATCTATACATGATAAAATGTTGCTATGTAACCATCACTGCAAATATATACAATTATCCCTCTATATCTGGGGAACGTCTGAAGAACAGAATGTTCTTCAGATACCAAAATCCTCAGATGCTCAATTCCCTTAGGCAAAATGGTGTAGCATTTCTGTATAAACTACACACATCTTCCCATACACATTAAATCATCTCTAGATTACTTATTATGCCCAACACAATACAAATGCTATGGAAATGGTTGTTATGCTGTATTTTTATTTCTATTCTTTTACTGTTGTGTTGTTATTTAATTTTTCAGTATGTGGTTGGTTGAATCTGTGGGTGCAAAACGTACAGAGGGTTGACCGTATCTATATACCCTTGTAACTACCACCAAAGTGAAGATTTAGAATATTTCTATTACCCCAGAATATTTCCTGTGCTCTTCCCAGTAATCTCCACCCTATTCTCAACCACTAGTGTGATTTCTATCACTATGCATTAAAATTTCATATAAAATGAATATATAGTATGAAGTCTTTCTTTCTGGTATGATTTGCTCAGCATAATGTTTTTCAGAGCTACCCATATTGTTGCATATCAGGAATTTATTCGTTATCATTGCATACTATTTATTTGTATGGATTTCCATAATTACCTGTTGGATACTTTGTTTCCAATTATAGAATGAAGTTGCTATGAAAGAACTTTGTATGGACATGTATGTGTTTTTCTTTTTTTGTCCAGTTTTAAATTATTTTTATATTTTTCTTTGTTTTTAAGTTTTGTGGCTACATAGTAGATATATGTATTTATGCGCTATATGAGATGTTTTGATACAGGCAAGTGATGTGAAATAAGCACATCATGGAGAATGGGATATCCATCCCTCAAGCACTTATCCTTTGAGTTACAGACAATCCAATTACACTCTTTATTTTAAAATGTACAATTCATTTATTAGTGACTATAATCGCCCTAATGCACTACCAAATTGTGTATTTTATTTATTCCTTCTATCATTTTTGTAACCGTTAAGCATCCCCACCTCCTCCCCAGCCCCCCAATACCCTTCCCAGTATTTTTTTCTTTTAGGTAAATTACTAGAGGTGGAAGTGCTGAGTCATGTGGTAGGTGAAACTATATATGAAACTATATATGAAACTATACAAATGTTTTACAAAGGGATGTACAATTTTACATTCCCATAGTTCTCCACATCCACATCCTTGCCACTACCTGTGGTATGCAGCCTTCTCGTATGGGCTTCCTTTACTGAGTAAAACGCTCTTAAATTTCTTCCATGTATTTTTATGACTTTCTAGCTCATTTCTTTGGGGCACTAAATATTTATTGTCTGGATGTACCACAATTTATTTATTGACTTATCTACTGAAAGTGGTCTTGGTTGTTTCCAAGTGTTGGCAATCATCAGTAAAGCTGCTAAAAACATGTGTGTGAAGATTTTTGTGTAGATAATACGTTTTCAACTTGTTTGGGTAAATAACAAGGACTGTAATTACTGGATTTTAAGGTAAGAGTATTTTTAGTTTTGTAATTTGAGCTGTTTCAGTGGTGTGTAATGATATCTCATGCAGTTTAAATTTGCATTTACATGAGAACTAATGCATTTGAACATTTCTTCATGACTTAATCACCATTTATATACCTTTGGTAAAACTTTCAAGTCTTTTACTCACTCTTACTGGATTTGTAAATTTTTTACTATTATATTGTAAAATACATATTATTCTCAGATATATGTACAGTGAAGATTTTCTGCCAGCCCCTGTCTTGCCTATTCATTTTCTTCATGGAGACTTTTGAATATTAAAACATTTTAAATTTTGATGAAGTCAGATTTATCAACTTTTTGTGTTTGTGCTTTTGTATTCTAGAAATCTTTGCCTTTTCCAAGGTTACAAAGATTTTCTCTTATGCTTTTTTTAAAAACATTTTTATGGCATTGGCTTTTATATTTAAATCTATTGTCCATTTTGAGATAATTTTTATATGTGGCTGAGTTAAAGACCGAAGTTAATTTTTGTTTTCCATTTGGATATCCAGTTTTCTGACATCATTTGTTGAAAAGTCCAACCTTTCTCCATTGAATCACTGTGGTACCTTTGTCAAAAATCAATTGACTATGTATGCATCAGTCTATTTTTAGAATCTCCGTTTTGCTCTATTTAACTTATTGTCTATTCTTATGCCAATACCACAGTCTTGTTTAAGATAACTTTATAATAAGTAAATCTTAAATTCACGTAGTGTAAGTTCTCCAACACTGCTGCTCTTTTATAACATTCTGTTGGTATTTCCAGATAGAGCTTTTGACTTTTCATATGAATTTTAGAAAAACAGAAGAAAAACTTCTATTTTTCTGAAAAGCCCCTGGGATTTTGATGTATATTGAATTCAATCGACACTTTAATTTCAACAACATTGAGTCTTTCAACAATCTATGAATATAATGTAATTGCTCCATTCATTTAGGTCTTTCTTTTAAACAATTTTTATGTATTTTAGAGTATAGCTTTTACCCATATTTTTAATAGACTTTATTTTTTAGAGCAGTTTAGATTCATAACAAAATTCGGCACAGTTTTCCCACATAACCCCAACCTCCACAAACACATAGCCTCCTCTTTTATCAACATTCACCACCATAGTAGTTCATTTGATACAACTGATTAATCTACATTAATACATCATTATAATTGGAAGTCCACAGTTTACATTAGGGTGTATTCTTGGTGTTTTACATTCAGTGAGTTTGAACAAATGTATAGTGACATGTATCCACCATTACAGTGTACAAAATAGATCCACTGCCCTAAAAATACCCTCTGGTCCACTATTTATCCCTCCTTCCAGTCTCATTTCTGGTAATCACTAATTTAGCTTTGCCTTTTTCAGAATGTCATATAGCTGTAATCACGTAGTATGTGGCCTTTTCACATTGGCTTCCTTTACTGAGTAATATGCTTTTAAATTTCTTCCATGTATTTTTAAGCCTTGCTAGCTCATTTCTTTTGGGCACTGAATATTTGTTGTCTGGATGTACCACAATTTATTTATTGACTTATCTACTGAAAGTGATCTTGGTTGTTTCCAAGTGTTGGCAATTATCAGTAAAGCTGCTAAAAACATCTGCGTGAACTTTTTTATGTAGATAATGTTTTCAACTTGTTTGAGTAAATAACAAGGACTATAATTACTGGATTTTAAGGTAAGAGTATTTTTAGTTTTGTAAGAAATCACTAAACTATCTTCCAAAGTGGCTGTACCACTTTGCAATGAATTTCTGCCAGTGATGAGCAGGAGTTCCTGCTGTTCCACGTCCCTGTTAGCATTTGGTATTGTTTGTGTTCTAGATTCAAGCCATTCTACTAGTATGAGGTGGTATATCACTGCTGTTTAATTTGCATTTCTCTGTTAACATATTATGTGGAGCATCTTTTTATATGCTCATTTTTCACGTATATGTCCTCTTGGGTTAGGTGTCTGTAAGTCTTTGGCCCATTTTTAAACTGGGTTATTGTTGAGTTTGAAAAGTTCTTTGTATATTTTGGATAATAGTCCTTTAACAAACTTGCCTTTTGCAAATATTTTCTCCCAGTCTGTGGCTTTTCTTTTCATTCTCTTAACTTTTATGAAGTAAAATTTTTTATTTTAATGACATTCAGCTTTTCAATCCTTTCTTTTATAGACTGTGTCTTTGGTTTTATATCTAAGAAGCGATCACCTACCCTAACCTATCTAGAATTTTCTTCTGTTATCTACTAGAAGTTTTATCACTTTGTGTTTTACTTTTAGGTCTGTGATTCATTTCAAGTTACTTTTCATAAAGGGTGTAAGGTCTGTGTCTAGCTTAATTTACTGCATGTGGATGTCTGTTTATTTCAACATAATTTTTAAGCCTATCTTTTCTCAATTGTATGGCCTTTAATTCTTCATCAAAGGTCATTTGACTATATTTATAGTATGTGGGTCTATTTCTGGGCTCTCCATTATGTTCCACTGATCTATTTTTCTATTATTTTAATAATATAACACTGTCTTGATTACTATGGTTTTATAGCAGGTAGCATCAATCCTTCAACTTTGTTCTCCTTTCACATTGTGTTGACTCTTCTGGGTCTTTTGCTTCTCCATCTAAACTTAAGACTCAGTTGGTCAATATCCATAGAATGACTTGCTGGGATTTAGACTGGGTTTGCACTGAGCCTGTATGTCAAATTGGAAAAAACTGTCATATTGACAATGTCATTTTTCTGTTTATAAACATGGAATATCTCCATTAATTTGGTTCTTTGCTTTCTTATATCAGAGTTTTCTGGTTTTACTCATGTAGAACTTGTACACACTTTGTTAGATTTATACCTGAGTGTTTTATTTTTTAGAGTGCTAATGTAAACGGTATTGCATTTTTGGTTTCAGATTCCACTTGTTTATCGCTGAGATACAGAAAAGTGATGGACTTGGCAGGATGCAGTGGCTCACACCTGTAATCCTAGCACTTTGGGAGGCCAAGGTGGGTGGATTGCTTGCACTCAGGAATTTGAGACCTTTCTGGGCAACATGGTGAAACCCATCTCTACAAAAAATACAAAAATTAGCCAAGTCTAAAGTGGCACGTACCTGTAGTCCCAACTACTCAGGAGGCTGAGTGGGAGAATGGCTTGAGCCTAGGAGGTAGAGGTCTCAGTGAGCCGAGACCACACCACTGCACTCTGGCGTGGGTGACAGAAGAGCCAGGCCTTAGGAAAAAATAAAAATAAAAAAGAAAGGAAGAAAGAAAAAAGAAATGAAAGAAAGAAAGAAAGAAAGAAAGAAAGAAAGAAAGAAAGAAAGAAAGAAAGAAAG